AAAAAGTTGTTTTCAAAAAAAAAAAGAGTGAAGGAAATTTATAATTGAAAGGTACGCGTGCTTCGAATATCAACGTGAAGTTATTTTTATACAACATTGATACAACTGTTATTAACATTTGACAGACATTTCATTTTGTTCATACTGTTAGTACAGATGAGCCCCGCTTAATATGGTTAATTCATACCGTGTTATACGAAATTTTCCCATTTTTTTATTTAAACTACCAAATCACATAGACTAACATATTTCAAACTTGGATCTAATAGAAATCAAATATATATATGTACCGTATTGTATCGAAGCGTTATTCGTGTTGTATAGAGACCACGTTATATAATATATGAAAATAATGTGAATCAATGCAACGTGTACCGTGTTATATCGAAACCAAGTTTTAAAACATAAAATTTTTTGAAGAAAATTTTGTTATGAAATTTCATTCCAAATGTACATATAAAGGGAAAAGTAAGTTAACTTTTTAAGTTCTCTTGCAAAAAAAAAAAAAAAATATATATATATATATATATATATATATATATATATATGAAACTCAACATTATGATGATGATACAAAATATAAAAATATATTCAACAAATATGACGGCGACCATAAAATTAATTTTCATTAAAAATTATCGCTTAACTAATTTTTTTTTTTTTGTTAAAGGATGGCTGAAAGCCTTCCCATTAAAGATGAAATAAGAAAGAAGAATATATTTTGAAATCGTCTTTGCAAATTTTGTACCGTGTTGTATCGAAATCGTGCTCACGAGTAGAGTATTAAACGGGAAACTGTTACAAATTCTTGTTGGCGAATTTTAATTTTTTAATTTATAAACTCACCAAGCGAATAATCGAAAATTTCTATCGAATCTTAATGAGAGCGGGACCGAGCTAATCAGAAAAATAATTGAAAAAACATTGATATTCGAATAGAAATCCGTATACAGTTTTTTCAAAATATTATTATGTGCATTGAATTTAATATGAGGAATTAAATCTAATAATTTTTCCCTGTCTCATAATGTTTAATGTGGGCGATAACCTGCCGGTTACGAAAAATGGAAAAATTATAGTCACTATGAAACTCTACAGTCATCACCACTAAAACCCGCAATGCCGCGATTTCTTTGATATGACTGACTTCCATGACCATAGATTATCGAATTGTAGAGGAAAAAAAATCGCCATCCTTGGCACATACACTGTACAAGTGTGGTTACCACTTCTCTGATTCGAAGGCTCCCACAATACAAGAGACAAGAGGACCGCATCCGACAAACCCCTGCAGCTTTATTACGGCGAACTCGTCACTAAGAAAAAAGGTGAAATCTCCGACACACATTTTTCCATCAGCCGCAAATTTATGAGATATCAAATAAGCGTCCAGTACTGTAGCATAAAAAGCAAATTCATATGATACAAGCTTGAATATTGGTTCTCCAGTTCTAAATATGCATTAAGCGCAAATACCGACTAAACGAACATATGAAATGGATTTGGATAGAAGACAAATAAAAAAAGTTTTGTCAGCTATTCGCCCTTATCCTAGAGATGGAGGAGTTTTTATTGAAACCGTGAGTATCGAAGTAGACCTGATATCTCAAATTTTTCATATTTCAAATGTTTCTCAGCAAACGGAAAAATCATACGAAACGTGAATAAGGATTATTTTTTTGCTGGAATTGTACCGATATACAGATAAAGAATGATATTGAATCGCGACAGTGTTTCATGCGGTATATGGTCACTTTCAGGACGGAGAAGGGAAGGGCAGGGCAATATGGAGAAAGCCAAGATCTGCGAAGGAATCACTACTGATGTGAACTAAATGTAGCAAAGGGTCGCGGTTTAAGCACACTTTGTCTTTTAACTGAATAACTTGACAATTTTATGGGCACATCGTTTACAACAAATTCAGTAAATTAAGTAAAAAAGTTCTTGCTTAAGGCAATTAATGAACACTGTATATTTGAAAAAGTTGAAATTCTAGCAAATCAAACACTGTTGCTTTACAATAAATAAATAAATAAAAACTATATAAATAAATGTTTATGAAATAAGCAGCTAAGCTAAGCGATATAGTAAGCCTTTCCGGTGAACAACGTGGTTATGTTTGCGATGATTCAAGTTAAAGCTGCTTGAATATCTCTTTCTGACTATCATTCAAACAACTAAAGCTCAACTGCTTGAGCTTTAAAAGCGGACGAACGAAATAAACAAAATTTATTAATTTTTTTTTTTTTTTTTTAATTAACTGCAACGAATTTGGCAAGATTTTCAATTAAATTGAGATTGATATGCTTTCAGAACAAAAAAGATAAATAAATAGAGAAGAGGAAATGTTAAAAGAAAGCGCGTAGTATATTAGTTACGTCTGTGCGATGAGTAAGAAAGTCATTTACTAATAAAGTTGTTAAATAATAACGAAAAAATAACCAAGAAATTCTCAAAGAGTAGCCTCAATAAAAATGAAGATGAAGAACATGTGCGTATTTGTGCTTTTTTGCATATGGAATACATTAACATTTCGTTAAGCGAATGCGGGGTGAATACACATTAAAAGCTGAAAGACGAAGCCAATAAAGCCAATGTACGTACGAGATAAAAAAACGCGACCAATATAATGAAAATAACTGAAAATGTATGACAAGAATTATAAGCTTTACCTAAAAGCTTACAAACGAGAATAAAGAATAGCAACAATTAGCAAATATAATAACAAACAGTTATACGAACGTATAAGAATTTATTATATACTCCTATCGCATAGGCACATAAACTCATACGCACACACATATATATATTCATACAAATTCATTTACATATATATATATATATAATCATGTGCAAGTGAATAACGTGAAAAATAAAAGCAGAAAAACTTTGATACATACGGATTACATAGATTAGTCATAATATATGTGTACGGTGTGCTCGCTATGAAAGAGCTTTTTTCTTGATTGTAATAATAAAAGCAATCCATCCATTGATGTATTTTGTTCGTATAAGAGCTTGTGCTTGGTTTTTGCTTTACTTGTAAGTGGTGTGCTTGTATGTGTTGTATATGTTCAGAATTTTTTGTTTTTTTTTTTTTTGCTCATCTTTGTGTTTTGGTAGTTTTTAAATACGATTACGCCGGTGAAGATGGCTCCGGCCTTAGTTGGCTGTGAACTATTTAAATAGATGGATATGTGAATTTCATTTCAAACAAAAAAGCAAAAATATAAATTTTTGTAATTGAAAAGAGAGAGGCAATTATTTTTGTTTCAAAAAAAATTTGTAAACATTTTTACAAACCAAATTTATTAAAAAACAAAATAAAAAAAAAAACAAAATAAAATAAATGAGAAATAAATGGAACTCGTGCAAATCATAAAACAAAAAAATCTACTAGACATTCTTGATGGTGATGATGGTGTGATTTTAAAACGAAAATTATGTTTCTGTCGCGGCCTCGTGTCAGTGTGTATGTGAAGCTTTCTTTTAACGCAGATTATGAGATCAACAATTAATCGCACAGTCAACCCTAATAGTATTTAGCACAATTTATTTATTCTTTTTTATTTACTTCATTTCATTTCATTTTTATTAATTTTCTTACATCAGTTACTCAGCTTGCGGCTGATAAAACGGCGAAATAAAAGTAAGAAAAAAAATAAATAAATTCAAGTTCGGTTTTAACTGAATAATTTGTATAAAATATCGAGAGCTTTTAAAAGCTTTTCAAATACCTTTTAAAAATATGTAATTCGTTGGTCGGGCCATGCGGACAAAATGAAATTAAATTTCGAAAAAAACAAATTAAATCATTAATCTAGCACATGGTGTACGCGCTTACTTTCCTCTTCTTATTAATTGAGAAG